TTTAAGGCGAGTAGGCTTTGTCAGCCTAGTGAGGTACGGCCCTACTTGGCCTGGGTGGCAGTGGAATTGACTGAACAATGTCATTCTCTGGTATTAATCTAGTAGTAGTGATCACCCAGGATTAGAAAAGGACAGAGGGCTCTGAAGCCCAGGCTGAGATAGAACAGAGACAAAAATGACATCTTCCCAGGTTCTAGAGCAGAGAGACTTTTTTCAAGTGAGCGGGAAGGAAGCAGGGCAGCAGCTGGACTGTTTTTTGCAAAGTTCCCAAGTGCTGTTCTCCTGGACTGCCACTTGCATGCCTCACAGCAGAGGGCACTGCTGTATTCTCTAAGCCAGCCACTGGAGCCTGCCACCTCCACTCCTCGCTTATGTCTGTCTGTCCAGAGGGAAGCTACCTCTCTGGCCTTCTCCTTGAGCCCTTGAGCTCAGAGCTCAGAAAGGCTGGGGGGAAAAGGGAGAGAAAAGCTGCGGCTACACTAGGTGGGAATGGCTGAGGGAAAGATGCTGCTCCTCTGTCCCACCCTCCTCCCACCCCCACAAGCAGGGAGGAATCTGCTTGAAGCACCTCCACTTCCAAGTGTGAGGAGGGGTCCCCGACTCATTGCCTTCCCCAGTGGGTCATTTCCTGATAATTCTCCTTAGAAAGGCAGAACCAAGCCCCCACCTGGGAAAAGACTGGTGCACATGTGTTCACATTTCAGTTATTTTAATTAAGTGGAAATTCTGAGTTACAAAACAAAGAACTAGAGCTTAATTAGTTATCTACTTTGTGAAAAATTATATTTGCATAAAGGGCAACATTTTGCCATATAATTTCTTTTAATATTCTCCAACTATATAGGTACCATGTGATTTGACTCATGTTATTTTCGGGAACAATAATAATAGTAGCTAACACTTTTCAGGTGCTTACTACATGCAAGACTTTTTATGAACTCATTTTATATATGTAAACTAATTTTTACAACAATCCTGTGAGGCAGGTAGTCATTTTTATGCATGTTTTACAGATAAAGAAATTGAGGAAGAGAGGGATTAAGTAACTTGTTTAAGATCACACAGCTAATTAAAGGCAGAGTTGGGATTTGTGACCAGGAGGTATGGCTCCTTAATGAATTTTGTTGTTACCAAACCCTCATGAATGAACATTGTGCCTTCCTAAGTTAGCACTGTATTAAGTGTTAAATATGTAAGAGCCTCAATTATAGGTACTTGAGAAGTAAGGGCCGTAGGGTTGCTTGGGCTTGGGAAATGAGGCTAAGGGCAGACACTAAGACCCTAGCTCAGAAACCTCGGCACAAGACCATCTAGAGGGTTAGCTCTGCATCGGTGTCCTTGCACCGACTGGTATTTGTTCATCGTGAAGTCAAGTAATAAAGAATGGAAAGCTGTTGGTTTAAAAACTGCTTCTGGTGGTCAATCTCAGCCTAGGACCTGGTTGACCTCTGCTATAGAGAGGGGAGGAGCATTTCCCTTTCCTTATCAGGAGTATAAAGTGGGAGGCATGGAGGATTTTCTTTCCCCATTCAGTTCAGGCAAATGTTAGGGAAACACCAATTCCTTTAAACATATATCTAGGATTGTCAATCTTAAGTACCACAGATATTCAGATATGACACAGTCCCTGCCCTCAAGAAACTGACAAGGTAGAAAATGATTCTCTTTGTTCCCATCCCTACAAACATGCTGGCCCACTAGTATATTCAGCAAAAGGAAGAAGTACTATAGCTTCTAGCTCCAAAGCAGTAGGTGGGGTGGTGGGGGCTGGCCAAGTTCACAGAATAATTAACTCCTGCAATCCACCTGGGATGATATCATTTATTCAGTGCTTGGTGTGTGCCAGGCACTATGCTAAACCCTTTACTCAATATATACGTGTTTAATTCTCACAACTGTTATATGAAGTAGATACTATTGTTAATTTTACAGATGAATAAACTGAAGCACAGAAAAATTAAGTGACATGCTTAAGGTCACCCAGCATGTGTTGGAAATGGCATTTGAACCCAGGCAGTCTATAAAGCTTGTGCTCTTAACTATTATTCACTATACTGCTAACACTCAGGATTAACTTGGATAGCAGCAGGAACTAAAGCTCAACAGTTAAAGAGGGCTTGATAGAAGGCAGAAAACCAAGATTACAAATGAAAGTGGAGGGCTGGCCCAAAACCAAGATTACAAATGAAAGTGGAGGGCTGGCCCCGTGGCTTAGTGGTTAAGTGCGCATGCTCCACTACTGGTGGCCCGGGTTCGGATCCTGGGCGCGCACTGATGCACCACTTCTCTGGCCATGCTGAGGCCGTGTCCCACATACAGCAACTAGAAGGATGTGCAACTATGACAGACAGCTATCTACTGGGGCTTTGGGGGAAATTAAAAAAAAATGAAAGTGGAGTAAGGTACAGGGTCTTTGGACCTTTGAGCCCCAATCAGTGGATTGCAAGGCCCCCCCAGGGCAGAGTTTGTGTCTTAATCATTTTTGCACCTGGCACACAGCTGGACCCATAATCAGTCTCAAAAGACATATTGAATTGAATGATGGCTGAGTAACATCATCTTTGTAGAAAGGACTGGCTCATTTGTCATTATCATTATCCACAAGGTTCCCAACGGCAATGCTGCTTATCTAGCAGGTGTTGGCAGTCACAGAGGACATGGTTGGTGGGGAGAGGGTGTGCTGGAGGAGCTGTCAATATTAGTCTTGTAGTCATATTTATTTGCAGAGGCTTCCTCAACCCTCCTCTAGCCTTAGTTACCATTCCTCATTAAAGGCCCAATGATGTCAGGCTCTCCACTGCAGTAACCCAGACAGAAATATGCTCCAGGCATCTCATTTACTCTCACAATGAGGCTGGCCTCTTACAGGTGGAATTGGGCATTCCTCTCAGCCCATCAGCTTGACCTTGTTCCTGCCTTCCTGGTCCATTCCATGGTGATAGCATTGAGTAGACACTCGGAGTAGGCACCCTGAGCAAACGCCTTTTCCCAACCTACCCTCCTACCCCAAACTTGATTTGGCTTGGTTGCTGAAGGAGGGGGAGAGCACCCCTTGACCACCCCATGTCTTTGTTGAGTTGTAGGTCTCAGCCCTTTCCTAGCATCCCAACCACCTGAAATTGTTACCTTTTGCTTTGTAAATTCTGTTTTGAAACTATTGCCAGAGTGAAGTGGAAAGTGGGGGCTATCAGCTCCCCAACTACACGTTTCCTAGACTGACTGGAGGGGAGGGCTTGGGAAAGGTACATAGACGTAGGGTGGAGCTGGGGGGAAACAGGCCCTGTACAAAAGCTGAGTAGCCAGATGTTCACTTTCCCAGCTCTCCTGTAAGACTGGCAGGGCAGATATAGATTAAAACGAAGCACAAACTCCATTTAAAGTGCATTACAGCTCAGGAACCAGCTCCCCCTGGGCAGGAGACGGGAAGAAAGGGCACAAGAGGCCACATCAGTCTCCTTCCTTATCTAGGGCCACATGTCTCTCTCCTAGCTTTTGTGAAGGGTGATTTACACCCCTGGCTGGAATGACTCTCTTTCTGGGCTGATTACATCGGCAAATGCCCCCCAGAGGCCACAGCAGGATGGCCATATTCAGAAGCAGTAGCCAATAAATCTCAGAGGTTTATATTGAGCTGCTCAGTACTCTCCCTCCTGGCCCTCTGCCAGGCCGGCTGTGGAGGTAAGGAGAGGGCTTGGTTGGAGGCTTAGGGGAAGAAAACCTCCGCTTCCTTTCATCACCCTCTTCTCTCTCTTTTTAAGTACTGCTTAGTTCTCATTCTTCCAAGTCATTCTGCCTCTATCTTTACCCTGGGAGCAGGTGGGAATCTGCCCTGGGCCCAAAGAACACCCTTACCCTTACTGGTAGAAATCCTGGGTTCTGGGCACAGCCATGTTTCTGTCTAGCTGTTTAATCTTGGTAGAGTAGCTTGCTCTTTGAAACATCATCTGAAAATGATGAGGCTCCTAAATGTTCTCTCCAGCCACCCTCCTCAGTGATCTTTTCTTTCGTCCAGGGAAACCTCTGCTATTTAGTCTGAGGGAAGTTTAATCCTTTTTCCTCTTTGATGACACTGAAGGGGCTGAATTTTGGAGGAGTCTAGTCTGGCAAAGGTCCTCGGATCTGACTCCAGGTCTGCTCCCAGCAAAGTCATTTCACCTGTCTGGGACCCATCTTTTCAGAATCTCGGGGGTTTATGACAACCACCAAATGTTACCCTTGAAGATACTAATAAGGGGAAATGAAATCATACATGTGCAAATTCTAAAAGAAAAAAAATACTAGAAATGCAAGTGCCCTTGTGCTGGTTTGTTCAAGGTTTGTTACAAGATTTCATTTGTGGCGATCGTTCTTTCTTTTGGTGGTGGTGGGGGGGGTTGGGGTTCCAGAAAGTGAGAAAGATGCTTTTCTTGTGTGTGAGGAAGATCAGCCCTGAGCTAACATCCATGCCAATCCTCTTGTTTTTGCTGACGAAGACTGGCCCTGGGCTAACATCCGTGCTGGTCTTCCTCCACTTTATATGGGACACCGCCACAGCGGTGAGTCAGTGCGCGCCAGGGATCCCAACCAGGCTGCAAGCAACGGAGCGCGCACTTAACCGCCAAGCCACGGGGCTGGCACCCAAAAGCAGGCTTTTTTGATAAATATCTGCACCCTTGAGATGGTGAGCCTCCAGCCGCAGCTTCCACAATGTCTTGGGAAGAATTCCTCCTCTAAGGAAGTTTGCAGCAGACGGCAGGTCGGCGCG